TAATAATAATAATAACCTTTATATTACCAGGTAAAAGTCAGCTGAGAACCAGTTTAAATTGACAGTGATGAATATTACAGATTTATGTTTCTGACCTTGGTTTGGAGTTGAACCTGTTTGAGACCTGCTTGTTGGAACTTTGTGCTCAGACGTCTGGAGGCTAAATAACCGCAGGTGTTGTTGGATCTGCTGTGTGCAGGTGTGGAGAGCCCGTCTCACGCCATCCGTGCCGACGCGGACCCCCTGGCCCGCTCTGCCACCAGCGTGGTCATCACTCTAGCTGACAAGTACACGTATGACTTCCCTGTGGTTATCCTCATCTACCCCAGCGGTAGGTCTACAGTCGCAGCAGCCATGGATGCCCTGTGTGGGTGTTTATTGTCAAGGTTTACCCTGTGGAACTCTTTCCTGTCTGCTCCTCCAGGGCTGTGCAGAGTGTGTGGGCCGTTGTCTCCATGAGACAGGAATGAGCCCCGCTCACTGAGCCCATTGGCCTCTTACCACAGCTTTGTTCAGAAGGCGGCCTGAGGCCAGAACAGGCCACTTTAGCTCAGCTCACACTGCTGCTGCTCATTTTCWGCTCCGCCATGAAGAGCACTGCCTGCATCAGAACCACACTGGTCCTGATGATAGTCTGCTTTTATCTTTCCAAAGCACCACTTCACAGTCTGATAGATCCTGACATGCTATATTATATGGAACATTTTCATTAACACTTTTTATTCAGCTCATAAAACAACCCGTTTCAGATGTTTAGAATGTAAATAAAAACTGATGCAGTGATTTTTCAAACCTACTGAACCCATATTTTATTCAAAGTAGGAGATAATAAAYATATCACATGTTGAAGACTGTGCAGGTTTTTTATTGGTTATTTAGAATTAGATGTTTCCCTGTGACACATCTGCTTTTAACATGAGTCTAATCATCCAGGACCTGAGGAGAGCAGGGCTGCAGTTCAGGAAGTGATGAGACCAGTTTGGAGGGAAGTTTGTCCTGTTCCTGTTCCTGTTCCTGTCTGTTGGGTTCTGGTTCTTCATCAGACCTGGGTCTTCACTGTTTTAGTTTCCTGAAGTTCTGAACTGCAGGCGGGTCCTTCTGTTCTGAAGATATTATGTTGTTTTTAATCCATGCAGCATGTAGTTCAGCATTGTTTTACTGAAACATCCAAGACTTTATTTGAGAAAAATGCTGACTAGGTGAGACCAACATACAGATGTGCTCATACCCAGGCACAAATGCACCCCCATACCATCAGAGAGGCAGGTTTTTGAACTGATAACAGTCTGATAGATCAGAAGAGGGCCATCACTTAMGGTGCATGTGACTAACCTGTTTGTCCAYGTGGAGGCAGTGCTTATAATGCTGAGTTCACCTGAAACTCATCAGACTGAAGAAGTCTCTTGGA